ATCTGGCTTGATCAAAAGACATGCCAGAAGTTCCAATAAATAACTCATAACCTATAACACTTCCACTAAAAATAAACATGACATTTTAAAAAGGCAAATTTTTCTGTAAAGTCATCAAAAAGTTATCAACTATGTAAAGAGCTAATGTACTTTTTACCTCCTCTACAGCCCAAATGTGAATGAGTTTAGCTACATGCAACAACCTGAATCAAGGTCACTAATATACTATCCTATCTAATAAAAGAGAAACATGGTAATTAGCCATACGTCCGCTACCCTTCCCATTGGCTAATCAGGGCGATATGCAAATTACTGCCAGCCAAGATGGCAGCCGGCAGCCAGGCAGCTTGAAGCGAACAGGAGGCTTGCTTGCTTCAGTGACGTAGGACTCCAACGCTCCCTGCCTGCCTCTGTTGGCTTCTGAGCTTGTAGTTTGAAACACTGTTACAAATAAAGAAGCTAAACAAAACCCCAGAAACCTGCTTCCAGCTAGCCGGGATCTCAGAGCTGGAGTTGAAATAGTGTTTCGATCTAGAACCCAAACAAACCAGATACCTGCTTTTAGCAGCGGAGGCCTAAGAGCTGGAGCCAAGCCTCAGAGCTAAAGCTGGCCCAGAATAAAAAGAAAAAAAGGAGCGAGGCCGTGTCCCTATGACTATTGGAGGGCAGGAAAGTGCCGCTGGGCCATGGGTTGCTGTGGTGATCCGGCCATCAGTAAGTAGAAAAGTGCGGCCTATAGGCAGCCCCCAGCTGCACCTGATCAGGGAGCAGGAAAGCCCGGCCTGCGGGCAGCCCCCAGCTGGGCCTGCTCCCCGGTCGCCATGGGGATCCAGGAGCAGGAGAGCAAGCCCAGCCTGCAGGCAGCTCTAAGCTGGGCCTGCTCCCCCGTCGCTATGGCGATCCTGGAGCAGGAAAGCCTGGCCTGCAAGCAGCACCCCCATCCTAGCCATAGCTCAAGAGAGAGTACAATATGCAGTGGAGGCCAGGAGCCTGAGAGATCAATACAGAGGGGCTCCTGCTCCAAGCCTCCATGGTGTGGCTGCGGACAGGCCCCCAGCAGACACGCGTGCACACACACACACAGACACAGTGCCTGCTCTGAGCCTCCAATGTGGCTGGGGGCAGACCCCCAGCGGGGACACACACACACGCACACGCACGCGCGCGCACACATACACACACACACACACACACACAGGATGCCTGCTCCGAGCCTCTGCTGCCAGACTGGGGCCATCAGTAGGACATCCACTGAGGGCTCCCAGACTGTGAGAGGGGCAGGCTGGGCTGAGGGAACCCCCACCTCCTCGTGCGCCGGGCCTCTAGTCTATATTATAAAATCCCAGTGGCCCTAACAACGTAACAACCAAAGCCCGGTCACCAGGAGGCTGCATACGCAGTGCGGCGAGGCACGCGTGTGTAGGCAGGGCTGCGTGCGTGGCGAGGTGTGCGCAGGTGGGCGGGGACTTGACTCTGTGGCCTGAGGTGTGCGCAGGTGGGCAGGGACTTGACTCTGGGTCCTGTGGCGCGGTGGGACTTGAGAGAGTCCCACAGCATGACGGGGTCAAGGGTCCCCGGTGTCACGCAATTTCATGCGCTGGGTCACTAGTTGTTCAATAAAAGCAAATCACAGAAAACAAACCATCATACTTCAATTTATAATAAGTACAAAAGCAGGGCTTTTGAAGGATTTTGTTTCTGGGCATATAAAATATATAGAGCTCTATAAAAACAATGGCATGATAAAACCAACTTTCAGGAAAGAGGTCAAATCTGAGGAAAGAAGACCTTCAATAGGAATGGTGATATTCTTATCTTGAACACGGGGGTACAAAGCTCACAATTCTTTCTTTGAATTTATCTTCTGAAATTATCCAAAACTTCAAAATTTCTACCACTTAAATCATAACACCTCATATAAAATTTGTCATCAACTCCAGGGAATTTCATTTACCTAATAAAATGGCATTTAATTTTTAAAGTCACATAAGAAAAATAATTTTATATAATTTCTGATACATAAAACCTACATATAGCTATACACTGTACACTCTTATTAACAAATGCATAATAAATTCATAACTGACCACTCCCACCCCCAAGAATGGTACAGATGTAAAATGTAAATAGTGCTGAGGAATTTTAACAAATAAGTATTAATGTTACAAAGATATCCTCATATTACCTGGGACAAGATTCAAAGGCAATCTTCTAGGTGAAATTGCTCTGGGGTGCTGCTTACTAATTTCTTCATAAATCTGAAGCCTCTCTTCTAAAGTGCCTATTATCAATAAATATGTGTGAGATTCAAAGCATTAAAACATGTATCTATCATAAAACACTAATAAACTTTAAAAATTATAAGATTAAATTAACAATATTAAAGCTACTCTCAATTTGTGTAAGAATGACATTAAAAAGTATGTGGTGGTGAAATAATGTAATTAGTAAATAACCATTTTAAACCCAATCTCTGGAGAAATCCAAAACTTTTTTTAGTAAAACAGATTGTATATGCAACTCAAATCATATACACATAAGATGCAAATACTTAAGATAAACTACACTTGCCTTGTATTCCTAGTGTACATCCCATGAAAAAGAAAACATTCCTTTATAACAGAGATTTTAAACCAGCGTGCAAGAAGAGGCACACTAGTGTGCCGCAAGAATTTTTAAAACATGCAATACCTGCCAAAACTGGTTTGGCGCAGTGGATAGAGCGTCGGCCTGCGGACTGAAAGGTCCCAGGTTCGATTCCCGTCAAGGGCATGTACCTGGGTTGCGGGCACATCCCCAGTGGGAGATGCGCAGAAGGCAGCTGGTCGATGTTTCTCTCTCATCGATGTTTCTGACTCTCTATCTCTCTCCCTTCCTCTCTGTAAAAAATCAATAAAATATATTATAAAAAAAAAAACATGCAATACCTGACTATTTAGTCAGGGGCACTAACCTATTTTGCCTTAGACTGTCAAATAGAAAAATGACAATAGCCAACACAACAACAGCCGTCCAATATGAATGAATCAAAATTATACCTATTTTTTTGGTCAAATTGGCAAAAAATATAATCTATGTTTTGGTGTGCCACAAATTTTTAGTAATTATGTGTGCCACGAGATGAAAAAGGTTGAAAATCACTGCTTTATAACATATCTTACATGAGCTCTCCCTAGCCCACAGTATAATATCTACTAGTATAATATCCATTGATTAGGCTTAAGAGAAGCAACAGTTTTAAGATCTTGAATGTAAATGTTTTGTATGTAAAAAGAACTAAATTTCTAACACTTAAAATGTTCAATGAAACTCCATTATAAAGAACCCAATTAGTACAGATTATTTAAAGTAGTAATATCATTTCTCCCAAATACAATGATATACTTCTAATAATAATATAAAATATACTTCTAATAGAAAGTTGTACCTTCCCTCCCAAGACCACCTAATTTTATAGTACTAAACAGAGGCTATACATCTAATATAATCTACATGATACTCTACAACAAAAATTTGCAGGTTATAATCTGTATCTGGTTTGTTATTCTAAAACAATATCCTGCATAATTTACAAAGATAGATTGCATGCATTATTTTACATAAGCAATAAGCCAACTGACAGCAGAATTTTCAGAAAAAGCAAACAAACCTCTTTTAAACTATAAGATTTAAGGGGATTTTAATTCAGACCACAGAAATACAATTATTTTAAGAATAACTCTTAGTGCTAGTAATCAAAGTATTTCTATAATAAATGTAGTTTTCACAATCATGACTATAAACACTATATTTGTTTGCTTTTTTTTAAGACTTCTTCATTCCCCCAATAATATGTTTTGGAGCTCCAATGCGGCTAGATTTTTGGAACTGGGATATGTGAAAAATAATTTTTAGATTCTGTTAGCGATTTGGAAACTTCATGAAATATCAAGCACGCTTCCACAAAAAATTCACATGAAGACTACTGCGGGCTTTTTGTTTGTTTGTTTGTATTTTTAAAAAGCAGTTCTTATTAGTAGGCCTAATGTTAGAAAATGATATTTTTAAGTTGTAAGCATAAAAGAATTTTTTCCACTATCCCAGATATAACAAGTGTTATAAATATAGTTGAAATACCATTAAGACAAAACCGAACCATTTTAAGGCCCTATTTCATGTCACAGGTTGGAGCTCCAGAACTTACCATGGGGGAGAAAAGGTCATAAGGAACCTAAAAAGATAAAGTAATGCAATTAGTTTTATAATCAAGACATTTTAGATTAAGTATGGATTCTGAAATACAGAATATATTATATTCATTTTGCTAAAACATGTAAATAACCTGTAGTTTTAAATAATCTGTATTATTAACTACATGTCAGTAACTGGTAGTTTAAAGAAGAATCATAGTTATCTCACATTTCCAACTTTCAGACATGTCTTCTGTCCTATTTTTAATAAAAATAATAAAAAAACCAGATTGAACTAACCAATATTTAAATTTCCACCATTTTTTAAGAAACATTTAAAAATACTTTAGTAATTGTGACATTAAATTTTAAATACAAGCAGAAAACCTGAATTTATAAAAATAATTAGGACATAACAAATAAACTTTTCTCATGATTCATACTACTGTAAATGAATACGGGTAGCTGCCTATTTACTCTACTTATTAAATTTAAAAATTCTGCTCTTTCAACACCCCTGAACCATAGTTTCATAATTATTTCAGTCATATATTTATCCATAAATAATAGGATTTTAGAAATTTTAATTGCTAACAACATTTAATTATGAAAATATTAGGGAAAATTTGGACTATGACTCTATAGACTTCTGAAAAGGGTCAAGGTTATATAATTTAAAAAAGATGTATAACATTTTACTCCACACAAATTAACCTAGTCTGAAATTCAGAGAACAATTTTCATGCCAATGTTATATACCATATACTCTCATCAAAATTTCTTTATCCCAATTCTTATTTAGAGATTGAGGATAACAGACCTCTAATTCTTTTTTTTTAAAATATATTTTTATTGATTTCAGACAGAGAGGAAGGGAGAGGGGGAGAGAGACAGAAACAGCAATGATGAGAGAGAATCATTGATTGGCTGCCTCCTGCAAGCCCCCTACTGGGGATCAAGCCCGCAACCCAGGCATGTGCCCTTGATCGGAATCGAACCTGGGACCCTTCAGTCCTCAGTCCAACGCTTTATGCACTGAGCCAAACCAGCCAGGGCAGACCTCTAATTCTTTAAAAATATTAAGTAATTATAACACTTTCCAGAAAGAGAACACTTATTATCTTTCCCATCTAATCTAAATAGGTAACATTACCATTGCCTGTACCTGTACACATTTACCACGTAAGTATAAATATTTTAATTCATCTTCACTCCAATAATTTTCCTACATGGAAAAATGAATTCTAGGGCAAGAAATATATGTCTTCAAATATTATTACAATTTTACATTTTATTATACGTACTTCAAACAATAGTTAAAAGAAGGTAGAAAAGAAAAATCAGTACATACTAAGTTGCAGAGCTTTTTCCAAGCCTTCATAATAACACCAATTTTCCGCATTCCGATCAATCAGATTTTTGAATACTTCACTGGCTTCTTTTAATCTTCCCAATTTCAACAACATTTCCCCTAAAATTAAGTTTAAAGTCACAATCATTTAACTTAAACATTAAATACCTTTCTGATCCCAGAGATTTCACTAAACATCATTAGTATAGTAGATATTTATGGAAGACAGGACTGTATGTGCCTCCCTCTGGGGTAGATTGCAGTTTATATAACTAAACGAAGATTAATTTACAGCTTGCCTTCAGAAACGAACCTTCATTTACACATTCTACTAAACTCACACTAGAGGCCTGGTGCACGAATTCATGCATGGGTGAGGTCCCTCAGCCTGGCCTGCAATCGGGGCCGATCATGGCCATGGGAGGTTGGCCAGGAGAGGGGCCACAAAAGGTTGGCCAGCTGGGAGGATGGGTCATGGGAGATTGGCCAGCCAGGGGGAGGGACCACGGGAGTTTGGCTGGCCGTGGAAGGTTAGCTATGGGAGTGCACTGACCACCAGGGGGCAGCTCCTATGTTGAGTGTCTGTCCCTGGTGGTCAGTGCATGTCACAGCTACCAGCTGGTTGTCTGGTCATCCAGTCGCTTAGGCTTTTATATATATAGGTTGCCAGCGCACGTCATATGTACTGGCCAGTCAGTCGGTCAGACTGCCAGTGTGTGTTATATGTACCGGCCAGTCGGTTGGTTAGGCTTTTATATAAATAGATTCATTTTTGGCTCCCTACAATATCCCAAATACACATGTAGAATATTAATTTGTTAGTAAAAGTCTGCATTACGCGTATTTTATATACCCTTCATAAGACTAGAGGCCTGGTGTACGAATTCATGCATGGGTGGGGGTCTCTCAGCCTGGACAGTGATCGAGGTCTATCAGGGGGCCAGCTAGCCGGGGGCAGGGACCCTGGGATGTTGGGTGGCCAGTCCCCCAATTGAGGCCTATTGGGGGGGCTGGCCGGCAGGGAGGAGGGACTGTAGGAGGTTGGCTGGTGGGGGGGTGGGAGAGGGGCTGCAGGAGGGTGGCTGCGGGAGCACATTGACCACCAAGGGGCAGCTCCTGCATTGAGCATCTGCCCCCTGGTGATCAGTGCACGTCATAGCAACCGGTTGACCAGTTGTAATGGTCACTTAGGCTTTTATATATATAGACTAGAGGCCCAGTGCACAAAAATTTGTGCGCTCGGGGAGAAGGGGTCCCTCAACGCGACCTGTGCCCTCTCGCAGTCTGGGACTCCTCACAGTCATTCCCAGTCTTTCTGCTGTTAGGGTCAGTTTGCATATTACCCTTTTACTATATAGGATAGAGGCCTGGTGCACGGGTGGGGGCCGGCTGGTTTGCCCTGAAGGGTGTCCCGGATTAGAGTGGGGGTCCTGCTTGGGTGCCTGGTCAGCCTGCGTGAGGGCTGAGGCCATTTTCAGGCTGACCACACCTCCTTCAGGGTGAGGGTCCCCACTGGGGTGCCTGGCCAGCCTGGGTGAGGGGCTGATGGCTGTTTGCAGGTAGGCCAAGCCCCCCAGTGGGGACCCTCACCCCATGGGAGTGTGGCCAGCCTGGGTGAGGGGCTGAGGGCTGTTTTCAGGCTGGCCACACCCCCAGCCCCTCCTTGAGAGGAGGCCACGCAGGTTGGAAGCAGGTATCTGGGATTTATTTATCTTCTATAATTGAAACTTGTAGCCTTGAGCGGAGCTCAGGTCCGGCAAGGGCAGGCAGGAAGTTTGACTTCCTCCATCACTGGGGCAACCTAAGCCTCCTGCTCACTCCAGCTCTATGGCTGCCATCATCTTTGTGATGGAGTGAGGGTGTGATGGTTAATTTGCATATTACTCTTTGATTAGATAGGGTTGTTAATGAATTCTAATGAAATATCCCTATCGTCCTACTGCACAATTTAAATGTACTTTTCCTGATAAGTTCATATATTAAGCAATTCTTCATTCAATGCTCTTAATTTCCTTTCCAGGTCACTAAAATTTGAATCAACTTGTAAAAAGTAACACTAAACCCCACTTCACAGCAAGAAACCACACAAACCATGTTCACATGTCGGACACCTACAAGGTTCAATTTTTATGTGGCTTTCAAGAAGCTACACAAGTTGAAAGGGGGCATGGGGAATGAAGATCTAAACTTTTCAAACATAACAGAAAGCACACCTAGTCTAAGATAAACGGAAGATTCTCAAAAAGAAATATCTCAACTTCCCATCCCTAAAATTTCCCATTCCCCAAATAATCCACTTCAAACAAATAATCCTCTGAAATGTCTTCAAGTCATACTATTTCAGCTTTCATCATCTTAGAGAAGGCAGCATATAACAGTGGTGATTATATACTATTATTTTACTACTTATATATGATATATATTATTCAAGCTGCATGTTATTATACATTTGTCAAAACCAAGAGGGTATAGTAAAGCTAACTAGATGTAATTACTAATGTTACCAATTTCTAGCTCTGAACAAGTTACAAACTTCCAATGTCCTTTCCTTCTCTCTAAAATATCAACTACCTTAATCCACTTCTGTGATAATCAAAGGAAATAATTTACTTAAAATGGTTTAGCACAATGCGTGGCACAAAGTGAATACATGTAAACATTTGCTACTTAAAACTATAAACATGCCCCATTCCTCCAGAATTAACTTCTGGTCAGTCTAATTTTTACCCTGTTGACACTATTCTTCAAGTCCAAACATTTTATTATATGCAACTACTATACGGTAAAGGTTATTACTATAGGATTATACGGAACAAATAAGTACACTTGCATTTTTAAAAAATAAAAATCTCTAACTTTAACAGTTCTTAAAATTATCTTAATATACTAATGGATACAAAAGACATAAATGTATAAAAATCAACATCTCTGGGCCTGCAAACTTCACTGAAAAAATTAAAATAACATATCCTGTCTCTATAAGCAATACAAAATATAGGCTTTATATTCAAATTGATGACCCCCAAATGATCCACATTACCAATATATGCTGCAATTTGCAGATTTTTTAAACCAGAATTGACCATACTATAGCATATCTATTTTTTTAAAATATATTTTATTGATTTCTTACAAAGAGCAAGGGAGAGGGATAGAGAGCCAGAAACATTAATGAGAGAGAAACATTGATCAGCTGCCTCCAGCATGCCCCCCACTGGGGATGTGCCCACAACCAAGGTACATGCTCTTGACTGGAACCGAACCCGGGACCCGAGTCCGCAGGCCGACGCTCCATCCACTGAGCCAAACCGGTTCTGGCGCATATCTACTTTTTAATCCCTGCATTCCCTAGTAATGCTATAAGACAAAGACAGAGAAACAGAAAAAGCAACCTAAGAGTTGAGATTTAATCAGGAAATAGCAATACATCAGAACATAAAAATAATTGCCTTTTATTTTCTCCCATCAATTACAGGTAATAGAATAAGAAAGAAACCAGAATATTATTTATCCACATTTTACCAATAGTATGAAAAATAGCATTGTAGTCAATATTGATATTAGTACTATTTACAATAAAAACTAAGTCAGTCAGTTGCTATATATTAACAAGTGTCAAATATAGCAGTTAAAAGTAAGGGCTCATGAAAAGACATGAAGAAAACTTAAATGCATATTACTAAGTGAGAAAAGTCAATCTCAAAAGGCTACATACTGCATAATTCCAAATACATGACATTCTGGAAAAGGCATAACTATGGAGACAGTAAAAGGATCAGTGGTTGCCAGGGATGGGGGCAAGGGGAAAAGAATAGGGAGAGCACAGAGGATTTTTAGGGCGATGAAACTAGTGCTCCATATGATACTATAATGGTGGCTGCATGTTATTATACATTTGTCAAAACCAAGAGAGTGTGCAACACCAAGAACTAACACAAATGTCAACTTTATAGACTTCAGGTGGTAATGATGTGTTAATGTAGGTTCATTAATTGTAATACATAGCCCTAGCTGGTTTGACTCAGTGAACAGAGCATCAGCCTACAGACTGAAGGATCCTGGGTTCAATTCTGGTCAGGGGCACATGTCCAGGTTGCGGGCTCAATCCCCAGTAGGGGATGTGCAGGAGGCAGCCAATCAGTGATTTTCTCTCACCATTGATGTTTCTCTCTCTCCTCTCGCTCCCTCTCCCATCCTCTCTGAAATCAATAAAAATAGTTTTTAAAGTTAAAATGTACTTTAAAAAAATTATAATAAATATACCACTCTGGAGGAGGATATTGATAGTGGAGGAGACTATGCATGAGTAGGGAAATACAGTATATGGGAAATCTCTGTACCTTCAACTTGATTTTGCTGTGAAACTACAACTATTCTAAAAAAGTCTATTAAAAAAAACATTTTAGAATAAGGGCTCTGAGTCAAAAAGATGTGCTTAGAAATTAACTCTACCTCCCTGGCCAGTTCAGCTCAGTGGATAGAGTGTAGGCCTGCAGATCAAAGGATCCTGAGTTCGATTCTGGTCAAGGGCACATACCTTGGTTGCAGGCTCCTCCCTGGCCTAGGCCCTGGTCAGGGTGCAAGCAGGAGGCAACCAATCCATGTGTTTCTTTCACATCGATGTTTCTCTCTGTCTTTCCCTCTCTCTCCCACTCTCCCTAAAAATTAATGGAAAAATACCGAGTGAGGATTAACCAAAAAAAAAGGAAAGAAAGAAAAGAAATTAACTCTAGAACCTAAAAGGTGGGGTGACTCTGGACAACTCCTTAATATCTCTTAACCTTAGTTTCCTCAGCTATAAAATGGAGATAGTAAATAGTACCCATGTTAGAGGTGCTAAAAATTTAAGTGAAATAAAGCAGTATAAACAATTACCATGCCCTAAAACACAGGAAAAGTAAATAAATGTTAGCTTTTATTAAGTTTTAAAAGTCCTACAACTATACGAACTTTAATTTTAAACTAATGGTTTTAGTTGGACATTCTATTTAATACAGTATTAATGAAATGAGTAATTGATGAACAAAGCTTTGTTAAGAAAAAGTGTGGCTAACCATTTGATGAATGTTTTTAACAAACTATCAGGACCCTGCCTTCCTAATTAGCCCATAATGATACTTGACTTCCTGATAATCCCAGTATCAATTATTATTCTCATTATATTTTAATATACATGAACAGATACAGATAAAGATATAGACATACAAATATGGAGGGGTAAAATATAAAGGTAGTATAATGTTCTGCTTAAGAAAATGAAATCTGAAGTCAAACTTCTTGGACTCATATACAGCACTATACCCAGTTTTACCTAGCTGTGTGACTTCAGGCAAGTCACTTAACTCTCTGTTCCTCAGTCACCAAACTCTAAAGTGAATATAATAACTACATCATAATAATAAGTGTATAGAATATTACCTAAAACATAAGTCTTATTTAAGTGTTAAGACGGAATAAAGTATAGTTTTAGTTCTTTTCTTTAATTAAAAAGAAAAGGCAGGTCAACTAACCTTTAATTTCTTCCACTGAAAGTTTATCACATATTTGTTTCTCATATGTTTCTATATGTTCTAAAGATTCCTGAAATAGATCTGCTTCTCGCATCACTTGATTCTGGTATAATATCAGTTCACTATATTCATAGTCAATTTTGTTGAGAGGAACCTAAAAATAGAAAGGACCAAATTATCATGTCTATATAATTACAGAAAGCAATTTCAGATCTTTAATTTCACTGCTTTCTATGGAAAGCAATTCACAGATTTAAAAAAGCAACCCATGAACAATTATAAATAGAAGAGTAATTAATAGCAAAGATTAATACATTCTTTAAAATAAATACTAGTAAAGGGATAGGACTCTGGTATAGAGCAAACTGAACAGGTCCTATACACCCAAAAAAGTATAAAAATTGGTTAAAATCCTAAGGAATCTACAGTAAAAAACCTACTAGAACTCATCAAGGAGTTAGGCAAGATGACAGAAAAAATCAATATACAAAATCAATTATATCTCTATATTATAGTAACAACCTGAAAATTAAATAATTTCATTCACAATAGCACCAAAAAGAACAAGATATTTAGAAATAAATTTAAGAAACAAGATCTAAACACCCTTCCCCCTCCCCCATGGGTAGGGCTCAGTGATTAAGCGTCAACCTATGAACCAGGAGGTCACGGTTTGATTTCTGGTCACGGCACATGCCAAGGTTTCCGGCTCGATCCCCCAAAGGGGCGTGCAGGAGGCAGTTGATCAATCATTCTCTCTCATCTTTGATGTTTCTAACTCTCCCTCTCCCTTCCTCTCTGAAATAAATTTTAAAAATATTTTAAAGTAAAGAAGTAAGATCTATATACTGAAGACTACAAAATATGCTGAGAAATTACAGACAAACCTAAATAAAGGGTGAGATAGTACACTCCACAGTAATGGATCAGAATACTCAATGTTTTGATGGCAATTCCAAATTGATCTATAAATTCAATGCAATCCCTACCAAACTCACAGCAAGCCTTTTACAGAAATTTATAAGCTAATCCTAAAATTCAAATGGAAATAAAAAAAATCCTACATGGCAAAAAAAATCTGAAAATGAACAAAGTAGGAGGACATGTGTTTCACATCTCAAACTTACTACAAAGCTACAAAAATCAATGCAGTGTGGCGCTGGCACAAGGATACCTATACAGATCAGTGGAACAGAATAAAAGGTCCAAAAATAAGCTAGTATATTCTTGTCAACTGATTTTTTACAAAGGTGCCAAGGCAATTCAATGAAGGAAGAGTAGTCTTCTCACAAATAATAGTGGAACAATTAAATTAAGTATGCAAGAAAAGACCTAAGACTAGCCGTGGGCAAACTACGGCCCGCGGGCCGGATCCGGCCCGTTTGAAATGAATAAAACTAAAAAAAAAAAACCATACCCTTTTATGTAATGATGCTTACTTTGAATTTATATTAGTTCACACAAATACTCCATGCATGCTTTTGTTCCGGCCCTCCGGTCCAGTTTAAGAACCCACTGTGGCCCTCAAGTCAAAAAGTTTGCCCAACCCTGCCTTAGACTCATAATTCATACCATACACAAAAATTAACTCAAAATGGATCATACACCTAAATGTAAGCAATAAAAGTATAAAAGAAATCTTAGAAGAATAGAAGAAATTCTTTGTGACCCCACGTATAAAAGAAAAAAATTAATAAATTGGACTTCATCAAAATTAAAAAATTTTTCTCCTTCAGAAGACACCATTAATAACATGAAAATACAAGCTACAGATTGGGAGAAAATATTTCCAAATAATATACCTGATAAGGAACTTGTATTAAGAATATATAAAGCACTCTTACAACTCATTTATAAGACAAATAACCCAATTTAAAAATGGGCACAAAATTTTTTTTTTTTTTTTTATTGTTCAAAAGTTTATAATGGTCTCAATTATCCATGAATAAGTGAGATCATGTGGTATTTTTCTTTCATTGACTGGCTTATTTCACTTAGCATAATGCTCTCCAGTTCCATCCATGCTGTTGTAAATGGTTAAGAGTTCCT